AGGTAGGTAGGGTTGATTTGGAATTAATTAAGGTTTGGAGTATATATATTTAGTAAAAATATTAATTAAAATAAAATATCTAATTTTTGAAAGAAAAAAGATCTCACCTGATTTTAGAATTGAGATCTCCAAAAATAGGGTGAGATGTAATTTCCACTTAATTTAATAGTGCATTAGGTCTAATTTACCCAAAAAAAAAAACAAACATAGACTAGTCCACCGAGTCGAGCCGACGATAGCTAGACTCACCCCATTTAAGGCCCAGAATACTACGTGGCCCATTAAGTTGCAGCCCACTAAATTTATAGTAGTGCCTAATTCAGTTGAACATCACAGCGCTGAAGCTTCAAGCTTAAAGAACAGAAGGAATCGGACAAGCAACTGAACTGCCTTAAGAAAGGGAAAATGTTCGGAATTTCCTATGGAGAGGCTTTTCTTCTGCTCGGAGCTGCTGCTGCTCTTATTGGTATTCCATTATGTATATATTTGAATTCCTGTATTCGCTTTAAAGATTTTATTTTTGAGATTAGGGTACAAATTGAGGCCTGAATTTTGAAATTTAACAATGCTTTCACACTTAGATAAAAAATTATAATAATCATGGGTAATGCTAAATTAGGGGTATTATGTGTTTATTGGGGATTTTTTTTAATGAAATTAGGCCCAAAAGATCTACCGATTATAGCTAGAACAGCTGGGAAATTGGCTGGGCGTGCAATCGGATATGTTCAAGTTGCCCGTGGCCAATTCGAAAGTGTCATGCAGCAATCGCAAGCTCGCCAGGTATGTCTGTCTTCTATACACGTAATGCGCACACTGATTGATTTGAAAATGCTACCTACAACTTAATTTACATTTGCTACGAGAGATTTGCATTATTCAAGGGTGAGAGTGGATTCGCATACTTCCAATTATGGGGTTGTTGGACAAAGCTTTTGATAAAAGATGTAGCACATTTTGAAAAAAAAAAAAAATTGTGGTAATGTAAGGGGAAAGGTTGATTACATGATTAATATTCATAACTCCTATCATAATGTGAATTTTAATATGACTTACAATATGTTAATATTTAAGAGAGGTCGTCTGGTATTATAAACTAACATAACTTTTCCTAATATGATCGTATTTCATCTACTTCCATTTGAGTGCTTTTAACAAGAAGTATATACACACTAGAATTTGAGTCAAATTCATATAGTCCTTGTTTGGTTCACCTACAAAAGTCGATTAAAATTCAAGTCAAAGTTAACATTTAATTCTAAGCACGCATTTCATGGCTCCACAACTTTTCAACCACACATTCCATCAAAATTTATTAAAAATACGATTTTTACCTAAATCAAACAATGTCATATTCTATATTCCTATATACTTATGATACTTTATCTTTGACAACAAGATGAAATGCTCGACTTCTCCCCATCGTCATGCTTATGATAGGAGATACCACAGTGAGATTAAGGGGTTTGATGCCGTAGTAGTATTAAGTAGGTAATACGCCTTTAGGATGGCTTTTTACACGACTCTTGTAAAGGTAATTTTTTTCCAACTTTTCTTCTTATATTCAATTGTTTTGTGTGAAAATTTTGATATCGTGAATTTTGTGTGAATCCTAATGAGTTAATTTTGTGTACGAAGATACCATTGATGACATTAGGTCTGGGCAAAAAAAATCGTAAAATCAGCTAAACCAATCAAGTCGAACCGACTCGGGGCGGTTCAGGTTGGTTTGACACAAGCAATTGGTTTTGTTTGTTGGTTTTTTTTTTAAAACAAAACTATGTTAGGTTGGTTCAACCATGGTTTGAAGTCTCAAACCGCCAGTTAACCTAACCGAACCGACCCAACCCACTTACATGTTTGCCTCTTTTTTTTTTTAAATTTAAGAAATATAGAAATCAAATTATAAGCCATAATCTCATAAATATATCTCGATTCCCTCCAATCTATATGAATTTCCTTTCACAAGCTCATTAATCATTATATTATTTTTATCATTTTTTCATACTGACAGTCATGCTCCGTAATGCAAAAAAAAAAAAATTCTTAAGTTTTATGTTGATCTGTCTCTATTAACCTGATTTTATTCGTTGGTCAATAGTTCTTATAATATAAAATTATTTAGATATTTTAGTTCCTGTAGTCTAAGTAGGCTCAAAACCTAGACAATTTAAAAAAAAAAAAAAAAAGTCCAAACCGATTTGGTTTGAGTCAGTTCGGTTTAAGAGTTATGCTGGTTGGTTTGGGTTGAAATTCATCCAAACCGACTAATTTGGTTTTGGTTTCGGGTTGGAGTCGAAAACGACCCGACCCGACCCAAACCAAACCACACGAAGGCCTAGATGACATTTTGATCTGGTGTTGTTTAAGAAGTCTTACTTATTCTAGATGTCTTATTTGTAAGTAGGACACGATTTATTAAAATTCACACGTAACACTATAAAACTAATTCCAAGCTACCGATTTCATTTCCAACCCTTTTTTTTATTATTTTTTTTCTTTTCCTTCCTGTGTACCAGAATGATATTTTGACTTGTTTGCTTATGAAGTTTTCAAATAAAAATGTCAGGTGCATAAAGAACTGCAAGATACAATGGCTCAGTTAGAAGCCATACGTCATGAAATTCGGTCCATTTCTTTCATGAATCCTGGTCCATTAACAACTAGGCCAGTGGACAATGTTGCTAGCCATACACCTTCTGGCAATGGTATCATTTTGCTTAAGCTTTCAGTGTTATATTGGAAACCCTGGGACTGGGTGACATCCAATTTTATGAGTTTATTTTGGTACATCATTTCTGGAATTAGTGGACGAGGAAACTACAAAACCTTCTGAAGAGAACTCAGCAAGAGTTAAGAACGCTGCAACAACTGCCACATTGAATGTATATAATACTTGTGAATCTCTATTACTATGATAATATCTTAACTCCATTATGCCTCTTTTAGTGAATGATTTACATTTCATTAACATTTGATGACTGTATTGCCTTAAGGATCATAGATCAGCAACCTTAGATTTGTCTGATATACATAGACAAGCAACTGCATATACAAGATTGGCCGAATCCACATCCTTAGGTGCAAAGTCTACGGATGAAGTTCTTCATGAATTAACTGATGAGTCTGGTCAGTTTATTGTCCTCCCTGTATCCGCTGAAAGTGCCGGAATATTACCAAACCGAAAAGGTGAGTATTTCTAAGAGCCTGTTTCAGTATATTTGCTACTCATCATTAAGCACTAATTATACTGCGGTTATTTCCATTAACAATTTATTACATTAAATGCCTTGGAAAGAGGGGGGGGGGGGGGGGGGG